TGGTCAAATGTTGTAAGTAGTATCGATCTAATATTTAAATATCATTGACCAAGCCAAAGTTGAGAATCCAGCAACCAGGTCACCTCACTTGCTTATTCACTGTAATTCCTTCCTAGTTCCGATGCCATTTCAATGGGGCTACTGATTTGGAATATTTGTCCCTATTTCGTGGCCTCAGGCCAGCACCCAATCTTGCCTTGAGCCTTTACCCTGGGGCCTGGGAGTACTTACTTCTTTGGCACACAGGGCTGTATCTAAGCACCAAGGGCAGAGCCCAGAGCTTATCTCTGCTGGTCCTCTTGGGTTTGCCTCGCGGCCTAAGTCAGGAAAAGGAGACGTGAATCGCTGTCAGTTTGTGGAACTATGGGTGCCATCTTGCCTAAACAGAAATCAGAATGATGGTGACAATTCTGCCAGGAGGCCCAAAGCAAAGGGTTGGCCTTGCTGACCTCTGAAGTCCTTCCAGTGGAGGCTCCAGGTCCCTTTCCCCAGGGTCATGGCCCTGGGCCTCAGCTCCTGTGTGTTGGCTCTACCTTTCTCCTTGCAGACCGAAAGGAAGTCGTTGACTAAAACTCTTCTGTTCCTTGTCACAGTACCTGGATTCCAGATAGTGAGTCCCACCGCTTATTCTTCTTAGAGTCCGCAGCTCTAGCACCGTGCCTGGCACATATCTGGTAAAATACTTGCTAAGTGAATCCATGAGTTAGAGGCAATTTGTTGGAGGAAGCAAAATCTAGTTCTCCCCAGGAAGTAAGCATATGATAATATGGTTTTATGGTTACGTGGCAATTGTCCGCGGAAAGTGCACATACATTGGTGGATTTCGATAAAGCAGACGGTTGGGTGTGGTCAGAGCTTTGGTATTTTCTTCCATCATCCTCTCAGTCTCTAGGGAGGGCTCTGGCAGGATCCTTGCTAGGTTGACCTGAAGGCAGTAGGGCAATTTCTGAAGGTCTTCCAGAGCTAGCAAAAGCATTTCATTTCATTCAGAATTATAATCCTCAAATCCAGTTCTCAGCATAACTTCCTGGTGGGAATGGATGTAGGGGGTGGAAAGGTTACCTGAAAGATTTGCTCCCTTGGAAGCTACAAAGATAGTACCTTGGGGTCTCCCCCAGGCCTGTGAAAGCTCCTCAGGCTGAGCTGGGAGGCTGCAGGGTGGTGCACAAAGGCTCAAATCCCCACTTAAGCACAGCTGACAATACCTGGGGGCCCCTCCAGTGCTCCCAGCAGCAGAGGCACTGATGATTCTAATGCTCAGGTGTAAATCTTAGAAAATTAATCATATTGTCATCTCCTTTCTCTCTCAGCATGCTTCTTACCTAACGGAGTCCAGCCTCCAGTGGACATGTAATGATGGGAGGGCTTGCTAGGACTCTGGGGAGCCCTGTAGTTTTCTCTGTGATAAATTCTCATGCAGCTTGGTATTGAGACTGAGGCTCTTTGGAAAATATCCAGAATTTAGCTCAAGGCATCAAGTGTAGGCAGTATCCTTTTTGAAATCTCAGCTACACAGTGAGACTGTGCTGTGCTGGTAACATCAGACCCCAGAATCACCCAAGGTGTCTGAATACCAAATACTGCAGTGTCAGCAGGGAGGAAAGGCACCAAGGATGGCAGAACTATGTGCCTTCTCAGCACTTTTATCAAGATTCCATGGAAATGCCTATTGACCGGCAAGGCAGGTACAAGCACAGTTATTGCGGCTTTGTTTGTAAGGGGGAAAACTGCAAATAAACTGAATGTCAATCCACAGGAGAATGGCTAAGTGAGCCAAAACACAGATTTAAGATGGGAGAGTATGATTAAGGTAGATGAGTATGTAATGACTTGGAAAGATATAAAAGTTAATTAGTTTTTTTTCCTTTTTTACAGAAGACTATTTTGTTTATTTATTTTTGCATTACAATTTTAAATACACATATATACCACAATTTTTCATATCTCTGTTTGTATATAAGATATGTTGACACCCAATTCAAGTCTTCATACATGTACTTTGGATAATGATGTCCATCACAGTCCGCCATCCTTGCTAATCTTACCCTGCCTTCTCTCTTCCCCTCCCACCCCTCTGCCCTATCTAGAATTCATCAATTCCTCCCAGGCTCTCCCTCCTCCACTATGAGTCAGCCTCCTTATATCAGGGAAAACATTTGGCATTTGTTTTTTTGGGATTGGCCAACTTCACTTAGCATTATCTTCTCCAGTGCCATCCATTTACCTGCAAATGCCATGATTTTGTTCTTTTTTAATGCTGAGTAAAATTCCATTGTGTATATATGCCACATTTTTTTATTCATTCATCCACGGAAGGCATCTAGGTTGGCTCCACAGTTTAGCTATTGTGAATTTTGCTGCTATAAACATTGATGTGGTTGTGTCCCTGTAGTATGCTGTTTTTAAGTCCTTTGGGTATAGAATGAGGAGAGGGATAGCTGGGTCAAATGGTGGTTCCATTCCCAGATTTCCAAGGAATCTCCATATTGCTTTCCAAATTGGCTGCACCAATTTGCTTGGGTACAGTGTGGTACATTTATCAAAAAATAAATAAATAAATATATAAATCTGGAAATCAAGCCAAATATTTTCTAAATGTAAATATATAGTGTGCAAATATATAGTGATTGGTCCTTAAAGACATACACCAAATTGATGATAACTATGGAATTTCTCTAGACGAAAGCAGAATTGAGAAGGGGGAAGTAGGGAAGTCTTTAGTTTTATATCTTTAGATTTCTTTTTCAATGAGAAGATATGGGCTATGTTACAAAAGGTAAGAAATGTGCTAATCCATAAAATACAACAAAGTTGTTTTTTTTTGAGAATGCACAAAGTATCTTTTTTATCCCACATCATAATAGTCTAAAAAAGAACCCTATAAAAGAATATTTTTACTCAAAAGTTTTTAGTACTGAAATAATGTATCTAGAACTTAGATACTTTTCACCTATGAGAATACAACAATTGAGAAACTCAAAGTTATCTTATAAGAATAAGACCTACACTGTTAGTGCAGATACAGGTGGTTACAGACTTTTTGAAGGACATTTACCATGGATCAAAATCATAAATACTAGTTCATTTAGCCTAACACATCCACTGCTAGATATTTATCCTACACAGGGCACAAAACAAAAACAAACAAACAAACAAAAACAAACAACAAAAACAACAGATGTTTAAAGACATTCATCATAGCACTGCTTGCAAGAGCAAAAGCCTAGGACTCTTCTAAGGATTAACATATTTGTTAATATGTTAATATTAATTGGCTCAGGTCCCAATGAATCAATAGCAGTAAAATGGCTAAGTAGGGATGCTTTTGAGGAGATATCATTTAGGCTCAGAGACTTTGGTGTCGAATAGGGAAGAGGAAATGATGCCCTGAGTCTCTAACCTGGGCAATCAGGCGGGTTGTTAAAGCTTTTACTGAGATGGAGATAACATGGTATTTAAGGAATTTCCTGGGTGGAGATAACTAATCAATATAATTGTGCTCCTGTCCATGAGGAGAATGTGTCTCAATGGAGAGAAATGTAGGGATGAAAATGGGGATGGTTGTCAAGGAGAAAAGAATGGGGGTGATGAGGATTGAAAGGGAGAAACTTTGCTGGGTGCAGTGATGCAGGCCTGTAATCCCAGTGGTTTGGGAGGCTGACACATGAGGATGGAGAGTTGAAAGGCAGCCTCAGCAAAAGTGAGGCATTAAGCAACTCAGTGAGACCCTGTCTCTAAATAAAATACAAAATAGGGCCAGGGATGTGGCTCAGTGGTTGAGTGCCGCTTAGTTCAATCCTTGGTGCAAAAAAAAAAAGAAAAAAGAAAGGGGGCAGGGGCAGGGCATAGAGAATTCTAAAATAAGAGGATCAGTCAGACACGCATGTTTTCCAAATAAGCATCTGAAAAATTATGTAATTGATGTAACTAAAACTACAGTTTTAGGTGATTGAGGTAGGATTTGAATTCAGTTTCATCTCATTGCAAAACAGTATTCATGAAGACAAAATACCCTTGCCATCATAATGTGTGATTAACCCAAAGAAATTTAATGCAATAAGTCAATAAAACAAAGTTCCATGAAAAGTGAAAAATATCAGCTTTCAAGATCTGACAAGTCCCTGGAATTCCTGTCCATCCATAAAATAGGAATAGTAGTGGTAATCCATGTTTACTAATGGAGATGGCAATGCATGACGAGTTATCTAATTAGTCATGAAATCTTCCAAAGTAGGTAATTTCAATCCCCATCTTACAGATGAAGAAATAGAGACCTACAGAGATTGAGTGATTTATGTAAGGTCATATAGTTGCTAAGAGACTTGCATTTCTATGCAAGAAACTGATAACTAAAGGCTCTTCAAAATATGCTTCCACAGCCAGGCGCTACACATCTGTAATCCCAGTGACCCCAGAGGCTGAGGCAGGAGGATTGTACATTTGAGGCCAGCCTCACCAACTTAGTGAGGCCCTGTTTCAAAATAAAAAATGAAAAGCACTGGGGGTATAAGCTCAGTGGTTAAGCACTTCTGGGTTCAGTCCCTAGTTAAAAAAAAAATAAGAAAAGTTTTTCTATGTGCTACATTGTTGTCCTCTGGGGATAATAGTACCTGCCTACCTACCTACCTATAAATTATTTTGAATTTCACCTGGAGAATTCATGAGGCTCAAGAATCTGAAGGTTCTGATGTGGGTGATCCATTGGACCATATTCTGGGAAAAGCAATTTTATTTCTTTTGAGAATAATAAACCATGTCAGCTGTATAGAAATACAATGATAATTATTGTTATTGATTGCTATGAGACTTCTCTTGGAAGGAACAGATCAGTTTCAGTTTCTAAAAACCTGAAAACATTGTGTGCTTGTCTGCATTCAAGGGTGTGGATGGATTTGGGTCTCCTCGTTGCCAGCCCTCTGGATAGTTTCCTCACCTACTCGGCTGGAGGCCTCCGGAAAGAATTGCACCAATCACAGGCTTGCTTCTTTCTCATTTCTTAGGCATCAACAAAAAGCAGCTGGGTGTCTGTGGCTGGATCCTGTTTTCCCTCTCTTTCCTGTTGATGATCATTACCTTCCCCATCTCCATATGGATGTGCTTGAAGGTAATACCCTGGGAATTAAATGGGGCTCTCCATATTAGCCAGCAAACCATTAAGACTAAATGCTGTCCCTTAACCTCTTAGATCATTAAGGAGTATGAGCGTGCTGTGGTATTCCGACTGGGACGCATCCAAGCCGACAAAGCCAAGGGACCAGGTATGACACAGTGGCTTCTCCTGTTGTGGATCACGGGCATCCCTTACTTCTGCTGCCACCACCACTATTTTTCCTGGTGGCACGGACTGGGAGTCAAAGCAAAATCTCAGGAAACTGGAGTTCTTCTGTATAATAGAAGGATGTGCCCTCCTGGGAGTGGCCACCAGTTTGAGAGATTAGAAATCTGGATCTGTTTCCAAACTCTTCCCCTGAGAGGGGCTGTGAATGTGAGCCAAGTTGGTAGTTATGTCCCTGGACACGGCTTACCTGGGCCAATAAGAGCATGTCAGGACAACGAGGGGAAAGAGTAAATGACTGGGACTGGTGGCACATGCCTGTAATCCCAGCTGCTCCGGAGGCTGAGACAGGAAGATGGTGAGTTCAAAGCCAGCCTCAGCAAAAGCAAGGCACTAAGTAACTCAGTGAGACCCTGTCTCTAAATAAAATACAAAATAGGGCTGGGGGAGTGCCCCTGAGCTCAACCCGCTGTTACTCCCCTCCCCCAAAAAAGAGTAAATGGCCAACATAGACCACTAAGGTGTTTGGAGCCAACATTCAAATGGTTGGGATTTGATTCTTGCTCTTTGAAAAGGGCTAATGGAAGAGTAAAAGGTAATTTCCTTTCATGGCAAGTAGACCAACAGACCAACAGAGCTGGAGGCCATACTATGACTCCCTTTGTCCAGTCCCCTGGTTTTTAAAATAAGGAAACTGAAGCCAACATAGGTCTGATAGTTTACCTAAGATCATTCTCACAGTTGGAGGTAAAGATGAACTTTCAGGCTTTTTGATATCTAGCGTAGTTTCATGTTCATCTTTTCTCTAAAACTTTGGAAGGAAAAATATTCCAAACTGTTCATGTTATAAAAAGATTTTTTTTTCTTTGACCAGAGTGAAGGTGAGGGCGTCAGTTCAATATCTTATTTCTAAACTTCGATATTGATTTAATTCTCACAAAGTCTCGGTGTATATTTAGTTGAACCATACAAAATTGCTGTTATTTGTTTTGGTTCACAAAAATGGCAATTCCATGTGGCTAATTTTAATATTCTTAAAAGACTATCAAAAAGCATCTTAAGAGATGATTTTTTAGCTCTATTTCTCTGGTAACATTTGTTTTTGGCTTCCTCTTATGATATATTTAAGTAAAAGTTTTGTCTTTCTATCTACACTACAAAATCTCTGGGGTTAGAAAGGTTTTTATGCATAGTGATATTCTGTGTATTTTGTATTTGGTCAGATATCTGCTACATGAAAAAAACCTGAGATGCTTCAAAAGGTGAAACTTGTGAGTGACACTTGGCTATTTTAAGTAATATAATCTTACTTGTCGAATTTCATAAAGAACCCAAGGAAAAGAGAGCAATATCCATTATGCATTATGGATGTTCTTATGAGTTTGCCAAGACAGCAAATGTAAGAATCATCAAACAGAGGAAAAATATAACAAAATCATCCTGTTCCTGGGTGCTCAGATTATAATAATGATGTGAAAGAGGCAGAAAAGCCACAACTTGGAAGACTCTGGAGAAAAATGTTTCTCTTGTAAATGAATTTTCCCAGAAGATTTCGCTACTTAATGTCCCAGGATAACCAACCTCGTCATACGTGTCTCTGGGGCTAATGAGTTACCTCAGCATGTCATAAGGACAAAAGGGAGACGAGCCAAATTGCTAACGGAAAACTTCTCCACTTTTGCAAATTGCAAATTATTCTTCAGTAATAAAAAGTATTTACAATAAGAACTTTGACTCCTTGAGCACCTATTACATACCTATTACTACCATCTTGTATGTATTAAGCCACCAAAGCTCAGAAAAGTTGAGTGAATGTTCCCTTTCACAAGGGTACAAAGTGGCAAGGCTAGGACTTAACTCCAGAAGCTCTCAGGGCCATGCTCTTAACCACAGAGACCTGATACCAAAAAAGCAAATAAATAGGGCAGTTGTTCTTACCACAAGTCTCAGAAATGTTTAGAGACCAAAAGAAAGAGAACATTCCAGCAGTGTACTCTGCCTGTGCTGCTGTTCCTTCTCATGGTGCTTACTTAACCTGAGAACTAAAACAGTCGCACAGAACTTTCCTGATAAGCAGAAATGGATTAGCGTTCCCATCCTGCTGACATGCCTTGTGGTTCTAATCCTTGTAATTCTTATAATAAAGAAAGAACATCCTCAAGGTAATGCTGAGGATTTACAGGGTCCTCTAATGAGTTTTCTTATACCCACGCTTACCTGATGACACCAAACCCCAATGTTTCACAATGCAGAGAGAAGGAAAAGTGTTTACAATCACAGAATGTTATTGTCCTCGAACCAGAATATGGCTGTTTTGCCAAGCATTGGTTTCAGGAAATCTGAGACCCTGAGATGATTTGTTTCTCCTCCTCCTCCTCCTTCTCCTCCTCCTTCTCCTCCTCCCCTCCTTTCCCTTCTCCTCTCCTCCCGTCCCCCTCCTTCTCCCTTCCTCCCCATCTCCTCCTCCTCCCTCTTCCTGCTCCTCCTCCCCCGCCCCTCCTCTTTCTTCTTCTTCTTCTTCTTTTTTTTTTTTTTCAGTGATGGGGATTGAACTTAGGGCCTCAAGAATGCTAACAGTACACTCTATTCCCAAACTATACCCCTAGTGCTTAAATTATTATTATTATTATTTTTTAAAATTTTGTTTCGAGTCAGGGTCTCACTAGGTTTTCCAGTTTGGCCTTGTCCGCCTGTCTCAGACTACCAAGTAACTGGGATTATAGGTGTGCACAATCATGCCCAGCTTTGGGAAAATTTTAGTTCAATTATTCCTTCAATACACTTGAAGATGCTGAGAATCTTGGCACTCACTAATAATCAAGACCAAAATTCTGTCTCCTGAATTTTTTATATTGTACCTTTATTATAAGAAAACCAATTTCCAAAATGTCCTTTTAAATCAACATCAAATTAAACACTTAGAAAGAAATAGATTGTTTTAAAATATCGAAGATTAAATGCCAAGGATCATTAGCATTGTACCAAAAGACTTTAATTCTTAGGCAATTGTTTATTTTTTTTTAATCCCCAAAGTTGAATGTGTTCATATTGAAGATCATCTAGAAACATATACAGCCCTGTGAAAATGATGTACCAAATAGCTGGAGACTATTTGTTTTAATTCTTTTATTTTTTTTTTAATTATTTATTTTTGCATTACAATTCTTAATACACCATTATATCATAATTTATCATATCTCTGATTATATGTAAGGTATGTTGACACCAAATTCACATCTTTTTTTTTTTAAACATATTTATTTATTTATTTATTTATTTTTTTTAGTTATTGGCAGACACAACATCTTTGTTGGTATGTGGTGCTGAGGATCGAACCCGGGCCGCACGCATGCCAGACGAGCGTGCTACCACTTGAGCCACATCCCCAGCCCCCCAAATTCACATCTTCATACATGTGTTTTGTAAAGTGATGAGGGTCTCCTTAATTATTTTCAATAGGTAAAAATTTAAATGAATTTTCTGTTTTGTAGGTCTGATCCTGGTTCTGCCCTGCATAGATGTGTTTGTTAAAGTTGATCTCCGAACAGTTACTTGCAACATTCCTCCACAAGAGGTAAAAGATTATAGATGTGTTACTAGAAATAAAACCTGCATCTCCATTATATGTATGTTTTTGAACAATAAGAGGAGGATAAACTGAATCCCCAGGGACCTGCTCTGAGTGCTGTTGTTGGCTCCTAAAACTTCTTGGCTTTGTTTTGCCAAAGGAGTCCAGGGCAAGAGCTCAAATACTAGAAGACATGAGGGCTCAAATACTTGAAACACTAAATGACCTGGAACAACTTATATTACATGCATGTAGGAATATGTCAAAATAAATCCCACAATTATATATAAGTATATTGCATTGATAAAAACATTAGAAAATACTAGAAGACTCGGGATGACCAGGTAAAAGAAAGTCTGAGAGAAGACAGTTGGCAGGGAAGCTGGGGTGGAGAATGACTCAACAGATGCTTGAGAGAGACAGATAACTCACCATACAAAGAGCTGAAGAGAATGGAGGCAGAGAGCAGTGTTTGGTTATTTTATGATCCTTGCCATCATCATCTTTTAGCAGTTGATAGACATGATAACTTTATTTATTTGTTTTTATGTGGTGCTGAGGATTGAACCCAGTGCCTCCCACCTGCTAGGCAAGCACTCCGCCACAGAGCCACAATCCCAGCTCCATTTTCTAAGATTTTTAAAGTAATACCTGTATTAATCACCTTTGCTTTTTTTTTTTTTTCTACTGGGGAATGAACTCTGGGGCACTTAACAACTCACCCCTGAAAGCGGGTCTCACTGAGTTGCTTAGGGCCTTAATAAATTGCTGAGGCTACCTTTGAACTCATGATCCTTCTGCTGCAGCCTCCTGAGCTGCTGGGATTATAGGCATGCACCACTGTGCTCAGCTCACCTTTGTGTTTGACCTTAAGTTGGTTTTTGTTTGGATGCAACAGAGCAGACAAGTGTGGAGACAGGGCAGAGGTTGTGAAGGGCTTACCTGTATTTGGATTTCAAATGATTCTTGAAATACTATAGTGAATGACCAAAACCAATAACTGGATACTAGCAAAGACCGAGTTACTAATGATTAATTTGCTTTCTCATAACCAAAGTGAACTGTTGGAGAGGGGGAAATAACTGTGAGTAGATCTACAATGGGAGAAGGACTTAGGGGGAGGGCAGAGATAATGAGAAGATAGGACACTCAATCAAGACTCAAAAAATAACATCTCCAGGGCCTCTGTCAGGAACCTCAGGACTGAGTGCAGAATTCAGCTCCATCACAGCACCTGGAATGCTTGCTGACCTAGAGGAGAAATTTTCTGGCTTTATTCTGGACAGTTGTGGCCTCTGTGTTCCATGATCCACGCAGAAATCACTCATTTGCTCCAAAATACCCTGTCACATTATTCAGATTGATGAATGCTGAGCTTCTCTACAAATCTGAATCAGTTGTGCTTTACTTGAATATAGAACACGGTCTCTGGTGCCATCTATGTTTTCTAAGCAGTGTTGCTTCATCACATCTGAAAACTGAAAACCAAGTAGATCACAGGTATCAGGAAACAAGTGCTCTCCATCTACTTAGAAATAGAAGATGATAGAATTCCAAAAAGGTTCTACTAATCCTTAAAATGGGGGTCTCTATTCTTACCTTGGCAAGTCAAGAGCTTCTGCCTATGGGATGTAAATGTTCTCTAAAATGAAGTTACAGGGGTCGATACGGACCAAATCTGGGTTGAAATGTTGTTACTGAGTAGGATGAGGTTATATTCAACCCAGGACAGGATTTGGTGACTATTGGCATGAACTGTAATTAACACTTTCTTGTGAAGAAGGGCTTTAGGGGTTGGCTATCACTCTTTCCATTGCTGTGATCTTGCCTTGTTTTTGCTCTATAGATCCTCACCAGAGACTCTGTGACTACTCAGGTGGATGGAGTTGTCTACTACAGAATCTACAGTGCTGTCTCAGCAGTGGCTAATGTCAACGATGTTCACCAAGCCACGTTTCTGCTGGCTCAGACCACTCTGAGAAATGTCTTAGGGACACAGACCTTGTCTCAGATCTTAGCAGGGCGAGAAGAGATTGCCCACAGCATCCAGGTGAGGACTCCAAGAACTAATACCCTGCACCATAGTTAATTTTTCCTAATTATCAGAGACTATCGATGTACCCCCTCAACGTGTATTAACACACCACACACACACACACACACACACACACACACACACCACACAGAGCTATGCTAGAGAGGTGGGGTTCTATTGGTGATTTTGTTTACTTATTACAAGGCATAGACTTAAATATCTGGGTGGGAGAAAGGAGCTATGAGAATTGTACCCCTTTCCCCCTTTCTTTGGAATTCACAATCACGGATTAACGTTGTACCTTCTATGAGAAGGTTAGAGACCAGACTTATTTTCAGTTTAGGTTACTCCAGAGGAAGTATAGCCATTTCCCAGGCAGCCCCTATATTCCTACATTTTAGTGGGGTGTGGAAGTCAGAAGAGGATTAATCTGAGACAGCAGAGATATGCCTTGTCTGAAAAGATTTACATCATGGCACCAATATCAATAACAAGATTAATGATACTGATCATCATCATTATTGTAATAATGATAATAGGGACTTCATTTTTAAAGGAATGGTAGAACCCTTCTGGAATCCTACCATCTTTAATTTCTAAATAGATATAGAACACTTGTTTTCCTGATACCTGTAATCCAGATTGCAGGTAGCTAGATGGAGCAGGTATGACCTCATTTCTTGTATATTCTAGTTTATAAATTGATTTCTGTATTTTCTTAACTTGGTTGCATTTTGATTCTCAGCTTTCTTTCTGTAAGTTAGGACTTGGGTCATTCTTGGCCTCTTGTGCCAAGACTTCATGGTTTTATGAGGTGATGACAATTCTGCATGACAGGTCCCCATCTCCTTTCTAAGAACCTGCTGAGTTTGACAACTCAAATGTTTCCCATTTAAAGCCAGGTCACTAGCTTCTCGTGAGGTCTCATCAACTCTTGGTGTCCTTCAGAACCCACAGAAGGGAAAGGCACTCTTGTCCTTTCTTTCCCAGGACAACCAGTTAGATGTCTTTCAGAGTTTTAAGGTTTTACAAAGGACAAGAATATCTTTACTGTAAGCTTCTTTAAAAATGCACCCTAAAAATCTGTCCTACTTTAAAAAAAAAAAGAAAACACATCTTGTTACTTGTTTAAAACTGGTCATCAGAGAGGGATTAAAGAGAGTAAGATAAATAATAGCTTGAAAAGTACCCAATAATAATATCCACTGAGTCATTGCTAAGTATTGATAGATACTTCATATGTATTATCTCAAAGCCTCACACGAATCCTCATGACAGTCCAGACAGGAACTGTTCATAGGTGAGAAAACTGAGAATCAGAGAGGTTAAAAAGCTAGTCCTGTGATTCATAGCTGCAAATGGCAGATCCAGGACAAAATTCAAGCCTCTCTGAAAAGCTCACCCATTGCTGTCTGCTTGATATCAGTGACAGCGGATCTGAGGCATTGTTCCCAATCCCCATCATATACTGATATCATACGCTGATGTCCTGCGGGATGGTTGTGGGGTGGGTCCTTCTGGTAGACAACTCACTGAATTTATTAGGATTTGTTCATGAAGCCTTCAAGGGATTCACTTCAATTCCAAGAAGGGATCCATTGGTTTGGGAAGAATTACCTTCCCAAAACATATCAGAAACTTAACATCAAGTCACCTGTCTTCTGATCAGTGTCTTTTCTTTTGATCGGCAAACAGACCTTGCTTGATGATGCCACGGAGCTGTGGGGGATCCGGGTGGCCCGAGTGGAAATCAAAGATGTCCGGATTCCTGTGCAGTTGCAGAGATCCATGGCTGCTGAGGCCGAGGCCACACGGGAAGCCAGGGCCAGGGTAAGGGCCACTCCATGTACATGACGAGGGGAGGCTCCTGGTGCTGGGGCAGACAAAGATGGAGCTGAACAGAAGATCAGGGTTGCTCTGTTATTTTTAAAGAAAGGCTTTGTTCACAGATTTAATGAGAATTTCTTTCGATCTGAAGGTAATGAGCATAGCAACAGGTCAAGAGGATGCTCAGCAACATGCTGAACAATTAGCAATGTGGGGCCCAATGCTGGCTGCACCCCAGAGTCTCCTAGAGAACGTAGCAAAACACTTCAGCTCCAGTGAAGCAGAATCTGGGCCGGGTTCAGGGACCAGCCTTTGTATAAAGCTGGTGTTTCAGATGTAGCCGGTGTGTTGCCTGTCTTGTGAACACCATTGTTTTGGTATGTTTCATGATACTGGATTCAAAGGGAATAATCAAACACAACCCAGGTTAGAATTACTAAATGTAACTCCACTCTTTCCCCCGAATGTCCTTGAATCGGTTGGATCTGTAGTCTTTGTGTTGATGGATTTCCTGAAGCATCAGAAACCAAGTCAAGCACCCTCATGGGAATCTTACTTGTGAGCTGACGAAGGTTGTTTTCTCTGTCCTTATCCATCCCGTACTTTGGTTTAATCTGCTGAGTTCCAGCAGCTTCCTAGCAGAGACTTGGCAACGATGGACAAGACATCACTCTCCCACGGATAGTGGGTACCCACCCTGGGGGTGATTAAGCTTGGCCAAGTTGTTCTTGGGCAGTCTGAGAACTAGGAAAGCAGAGTATGAAGAGAGTCCCAGGCTGGCACTTTTTACTACTTGTAATCAAGAGCTCAGAGAACTGAGAACAATTCCTGAATTGTAAGAATGAGACTAGGTTGGCAATAGAATGAAATAACAACATCTTGTGTGATAAGTGAAAAACAGCAAAAACCTGGTTGGAGCCCTTGAATTTTAGGCTTCTCTAAAAATGAATGCAATAGGCAGTGAGGCCCCTACAGGCTTTAAGAGCATTCCTAGGATGGATGGCCAAGTATTTATTTGTGTTAAAGAGAGGGCTTTCATTTTTGTTTGAAAATGAAATCTAGGTACTCATAGTTTGTAAAACATCTATTCTGACACTGTGCAACCTCTTCCTCAATTTCTCCATTCATCATAGGATGTGACACTCTAATCCTACCCAAAAGCAAAGGAAACATGTATGGCAAAGCAGGGGGCTGGGTGACCTATATCAGCACAGACCCAGAAAAAGAAAACTCTAGTCACATTTGTAAATGTTTATTTCTGTCATTTTAGGTCCTGGCAGCAGAAGGGGAAATGAATGCTTCTAAATCTCTGAAGTCGGCCTCTATGGTGTTGGCCGAGTCCCCCATAGCCCTTCAGCTGCGTTACCTGCAGACCTTAACCACTGTAGCCACCGAGAAGAATTCCACCATTGTATTTCCTCTGCCCATGAACATACTGGAGGGCATTGGTGGTATCAGCTATGACAATAACCACAAGAAGGTTAATGACAGAGCCTGAGGTCCTCCTGAGGTAGCCAGTCCATTGCTTAGAGAGTTCTTTGAATCCTGTGGGGGAAGCCAGCAGTTAGAGGCAGTGAAAATTATAGCATTATTCATGCCGCAGTCACTCCAGAGCTGGAATAATTAGAAGGGAAAATGTGTAGGGGCTATTAAAAAAAATAAAAAGGAAAATGAGGGTTGTATATTAGTAATAAAACATAAGCAACTTTGCAACATTCTTATATTATTAATTAATAGTCATTCTGAGTTATAGCAGGAACTTTCTCACAGTAGGGAAGGAAATCATTGGTTACTGTGACCAAGATGCAAAATTACTTTCTAATTGTTTTAAAAAGAAGTACTCTAGATCACTTGTAAAGTAAAACAAGTCTCATGTGCATACCATGTCTAAAGTAATTACTTGCTATATCTCTGATAGTTGCAGGAAAACCCCTCAATGCTAAAAATTATGATTGATTTTGATATTAAAGATAAAAAACATCGGCTGCAAACACGGCCTGGCCCCACAGGACAAATTGCACTCAGCTCAGGGCACCAGATCTGTTGCTGCAATGCAGGTCCTGCTGGGAGTGTTGGCCAATCCCCAGCCTCCCAGCACAGTTGTCAGAGGGCCGAAGAAGACCCAGTTAGGTGGACCCTCCTGTCAATCATTTGCTTTCAAGTGAGATGGCTTATAAAAGGCTTCAGAGGTGGAACTGCTGGAGAGCTTGTCCTTTGAAGTTCATGTTTCCATTCTGCTGTTAGTCTCAAGAGTCACTCATACCCCAGAATTATTGGCAAACTACACCATTCCCCCTTCACCAAAGAACCTGCTACAAATAAAGAAGTCATAGCATGTGAATATACTTAAAAACAATGCTTTGTTGGAGGTTATTTTGCTGTCAAGGTGTAATTTTCTTTGGGGATGAGGTTTGAGAAATGGGCTACAATTTTTTTTTATTTTATTTTTTTACAGATTCATTTGTTATTTTCCTACAGCAGTGCATATTCATACACACAGGTACAACTTCACAACTTGGGTATGAACAGGAAAAGTTTTATTTTTTTAAAAATTTTTAATATTTATTTTAGTTTTCGGGGGACACAACATCTTTGTTTGTATGTGGTGCTGAGGATTGAACCCGGGCCGCACGCATGCCAGGCGAGCGCGCTACTGCTTGAGCCACATCCCCAGCCCCAACAGGAAAAGTTTTAAATGTTCCTTTTTATTGACCACTTTGTGTTACACTGAATTCTGCCCTTTGGGGCTGCCAAGAAATATCTTTATTTTACAGAGGAGAAAGTGATGTTAAGAGGTTAAAAATCACTTGTCCAGGGACCCTCAGTCAGTGAACGTTGGACCAGAATTTTTAAAAATCCAGGTCTCAATTGAAAGTCTTGGCTCTTACACATCATCGGGTTTTACTTGGGGAAGTGGGGTGAGGGATAGAGGCCTCCAATTCCCTTTCTTGCCTTTAATACCAAACTTCTAAGTTCTGGAAGTGCAGTCACCACTGCAGTACCCTGGACTACACATGCATGTGTACAAACACAACTTCCGTGGTGCTTCACTGTCTTTTTCACACTCTACACCCTCCATGTAACCTCTGGCCCTCACTTTCCTGCTCCCATCACTTCCCCAGCCTCTCCTCATTCAGATCCTGTCAGGACCCAGGCACTAACTGCATATGAATGCAAAATGAGGATCATACTCCACCTTTGGTTTCATAACCTATGTTTTATTTTTCCCCAAACGATATGATATTTGGATAATCCTCATTTTCTGAATCTTGTAGTAGATCCTCTTGGCTGTGAATCCAACACTCATTCTTAACTCACTGAGGTTAGTATTTTTTTCTTCTAGACTCATTACTTGCATTGTAACAGGAGTTGAGAACTTAAGTGCATAGGCAAGAATCTAAGGTGGGTCACCCACATCAGCCAGAATCCAAGTCCATAGAGTTATGACTCTTGTCTTAGTTGACTTTAGCATTGCTGCGACCAAAATACCTGACACGAACTACTTAGAATAGGGAAAGTTTATTTGGGGATCACTGCTTCAGAGGTCTCAGTCCATAAATAGCTGACTCTATTGCCCTGGGCCCAAGGTCAGGCAGCCATGCCCCACCTGCATAAAGTTACCACCCAGTGAGTCCATTCAAAGTAGGACAGATTATAGCTTTCATAATCAAATCATTTTACTTCTGAATATTCCTGCATTAACAGGAGCTTTTGGGGGACACCTCATAGCTAAACTACCTAAACATTGCCTAAACACTTAATTGGTGCCCCTACAACTAAAGAACAATGGTGCAGACCCTGAGAGCCAGCTGAGGGGGTGGGGATCCTATTTATACAACAAAATTTTGCTGGTCCTTATAAATGTCTCTTCTTAGTCTTGTTCCATAGATAAGTTGTTGCTCCTTTTTCAGCTTCAGTGATTTACATTGAAATGCAAATCTTTGCTGACGATGTACAGAAAATTGTAAATTAGTGGTTCTTGGTGGAGATAAACAACATTTTTTCACTCACTGGAACTTCTTTTTCAAAACCCACAACCAGTAAACACACACACACACACACACACACACACACACACACAGATACACCCCCCCCCCGCCCCCCAAACAAATAATGCCCAGTCTGTTTGCATCTCACGTACATTGAGATGGGGTTTGGAGCATGAGAGCTATATCAGAATATTTGGAGCAGTGACAGATGTAGCTCAAAAACTCCCTAGAAAATTCAAGTCACTCCATCCTTTCCAACATCAAGCCTTATTAGTTCTTTAGTGCATTTTTCAACAGATGATTTGTTATATTACTAAAGGCTGACTGAAGAAGCGTCCCCTGAAAGTTAGTATATTTGGGGACCATGGGCTTATAAAAAAACCAGAAAAGGCAGAGGTCTTGGAATGTGAATGCCAAGGATGATGTTCAAAACAGTCACCTCCCCACTGCCACCCACAGAATAAGGCTAAAATCCTTTTCCTCTGGAGGTTGGGGCAAGGCCAGGAGGGAAAATAGTAGATGACCCTCTTAGAGAGAGAAAAGTGGCTACTCCTTTGTGGAACCCAAAGTCATTCCATCAGTATTGAAGTTAGTGCAGATAAGCTCCCTCAGTTGTTTCCTGTTTTGACAGCAGGGATGGCTGGGCCCTGGCTGCAATGCTGAAGCGGGTTTGAGGCCCCAGGACTCACAGAGCTAGAGGGAAATAGCAGGGCTTTCTTAGTCTCTCTGGGCTGCCTCAATACCATAAACAGAAATTCATTTCTCATAATTCTGGAGGCTAGAAAGTATAAGATAAATACAAGAGTTTGATGAGGCCCTGTTATCTGGTTCATAGATGGTGCCTTGTCCCTCTGTCTTCACATGGTGGAAGGAATAAAGCACCCCTCTGGGTGTCTTATATAAAAGCACCAATGATAATAAAGGCTCTGCCTGTGTGGTCTAATCGAAGGTCCCAGCTGCTACTACCAGCTGGTAGTTAGGATTTAAAGATCTGAATTCTAAGGTGGCATGGACATTCAGAACACACACACACACACACACACACACATACTACTTACCAATTGAATGTCATTTGTGATAAATGTTCACTTCAAGGGGACCTGAGCTTCCAGAAGACAATGGAAGGTCACTGAGGAACTGTGATGAGGCAGAGGTTACAGAAAAAGTTCTCTGGACTAGGAGCAGCGTTGATCAAATCTGGGAAAAAACCTTGGCTGTCACCCAATCCAGCCATTATTTTTAAAGCCTTGAAGCAGACATTTTGGGCAAATTTAAAGCCAATATCTGCAATCAATAAACATGGAGCTGCTCTGGCTGTAGTAGGGATGAAGGGCCCGGGGCTCCATCTACCACCCCATTCTCCTATTCCCAGTTCCCCTTCACAGTGGTCAATTTGAAAACCTCTTGAATCACAGCTTGTGACACAATAGGAGATAAACAGCCAGAGAAGTGAAAGGACAACCCAAGGTTACAGGGACAAGAGGCAGCAGCTATTGATGCCACCAGTTACTGGTGATGAGTCCTGCTCCCTCACGTGTTAAAGTCTGAACATTAGAGAAGCACGCCAAGCGAGGCAAGCATATAATGCAGGGTTTATTTAAAAGGGGGTAACACAGACTTCTCCTGGGAGGGTGTCCTGGTATCCCAAGAAGCAAGGTGTTCTGCCCTTTTTGTATGTTCTAGGTTTCCTTCATTCTCTTGCCCTCTTCCCCTAATCTCTCTCCTTCTGTGACTAGGCATCTGACTAGACCTAGGATATGCTCCATGGGATGGCCAAAAGGTTGGGGGGGAAGGGGGAAGGGCAGGAAGGAGCAGCCAAGGACACATTAATTAACAACCTTTTAGCTCTGTGTAGGGAGGGGCAATTCCTGGACAGGTTACCTTGGCCACAGGTTGGATCTGGGGCAGGTTCTCCATAAGAGTGGAGGAAGGGCTCTGAAGGAATTAACATTTCAATTCCTCTGGGGGACAGTCTCCAACTTGCTGGACTCACTCAAAATTGGCCTCCTTGATCCGACTCGATTTACCTATCTATACTGACTGCCTAAGTCCAAAAAGCCATGCAGCGGCAGGGAAGGACCAGACTTTTCTAATACACCTTGAATCTTGGGTCCGATTTCTGGTGATTGTTGACATCACACACACTGTCACAAAGTCTATCTGGCTGTGCCCTAGAAGGACCCCTGACAGGTGGTCACTTTCTAGAGTCCTAAATGGGAAATGGGGGAACAAAGAGAGCCTTTTTTGTTTGTTTTGTTAATCTCACTTACTAAACCACCTTACCTCATAAAGTCTTCCTTTAAACTCCAGACATAATTGGACTTCATATCTTCCTTCAGCTTGTAAGGGTCCCGCGAAACGTCGGAGAAAGAGACCACCAAGTGACCACTCATGCAATTGGCAGAAGGGGATTTATTGAACCAGCATGCTGGGGCTCCGTGCCCACTCAAGAAGGGAAAGCAGCCCAGAGCCCCGAGCAGGGGCTGAGCACTGCTTAAGTACACTTTTTGGGGAGGGCGGAGGGCTTTGTATACATCAGAACAAATCATCATGAGGTGCGGGAAAATTGAACAACAACTCCTAAACATGATTAGTTCATTCATTGGCGGGAACAGGTCAGGCTGGAGTGATAGGTCATTCCTAAGGAGGGGGTTACATTTAAACTGATTGGTCCAGGCCCTGCAATGCCTACGTGCAACCACACAGAGCCCTTATTAAACAACCAATAGTCAGGGGAAATATTTACTGGGCAGTTCCAAGCATTGTCTCAACAGCTACAGAAATTTCAGGTTTTGCAGGTAGCATAGAAACCTAACAATACCTAATCCTTTACATTTTAACTCAGACCTTGCAGCTTAGAAACTTTACAACACCCGGTCTTTTACCCTTTAACTTTTACGCTTTAACTTCAATTTATTTTACCCTTACAAGCTCATTCTCTTATACCATCCTGAGTACAGAATGGTTATAAGGGAGAGAAGCCTTAGAAACAATTGCCTCTGAGGACATCTTGTAATGCCAGATTCATGGGACCCCAATCGACCTCCAGGAGCCGAATCCAATGCAATCACACAAAAGTCTTTATTGCAAGCTCCAGCCTGGACTCAAAACTGTTCCCGACACAGCAGTCCCAGGGAGTGAGTCCTGGTCCTTTGTTCAGTGAGGATTTTATAGGTTTTGGGGGATACTCTATGTGTCACAACCTCACATAGCAAATCATTCCATACCACAGGAAAATCAAACAACAACTCTTAACATTGATTAGCACATTCACTGGTGGGAACAATTTGGGTGGGGGTGATTGGTTAGTAGAAGAGGGGGATTCCTTTGAA